TGTGTTTATGTGCGTGTGCGTGTGTGTGTGTGTGTGTGTGTGTGTATGTGTGTGTGTGTGTGTGTGAGTGTGTGTGTGTGTGTATGTGTGTGTGTGTGTGTGTGCGCATGTGCATGTGCGTGTGTGCGTGTGTGTGTGTGTGTGTGTATGTGTGTGTGTGTGTGTGTGTGTGTGTGTGTGTGTGTGTGTGAGTGTGAGTGTGTGTGTGTGTGTGTGTGTGTGTGTGTGTGTGTGTGTGTGTGTGTGTGTGTGTGTGTGTGTGTGTGACCAAGTAGCTCCATACCCAATTAGCTCATTGAACCCCAAAATGAAATTGTTTTTTTTCTGTAGAGTAATCTTGTTAATGGTATCTTTTCGTTATCATAAATTAAAGAGGGAAAATTCGGTTTTACTTCTGGTGAGTATAACAATAACAAGTAAATGATATAAATCATTATGTATCTAGCCATATCTGATATTTCGATGCGCACTTCCATTGGCTAAACGTGGTGACGTCATTAGTTCTTACGGAGATTTTTTTTCGTGCAATGGTAAAAAAAAAATGTATTAAACAAAGAAACTAAGAAAGAAAGAAGTAAACAAAATATTAAATACCTGAGATGAATAAAGGTGATAAGGTATCGAGAAACTGCTTTCCACCCATGCTGTTACTATCGTGTTGTTCTCATATTTTACTGTCGATTAGTCAAATGACCTGAAGATGGCATCTTAGTACGTTGAAACTTTAATGGCAGATAAGAAGCACGACGAAGAGAACTAACTCTCAAATGCAATGTGAAGCTAGAGGACCTTTGCGCGATGGAAGATGGATCAGGAAATTACCAAACCTATTTTGATCAGAGACTACTAAATTTCTGATCGAAACGCCATGCCTTTAGACAAATGAGACAAGGAAAGCCTTATTCATGATTTGACTCCTACTTTCCATCTAGAATAAATGGATGATTAGTTAAAATATTAAATAGATAAATAGCTAGATCAATTAATAATTACTTGTAAGTAACAAATGAAGTTTTAGAAAGGTGAAAATCGATCACATAGACGGAATGACAACACAAAATAGTCGCAAAGATTTTGTTTGCCTCCCTACTAGACCAGTAGGCCTTAGATCTATATAAGTTATATTTAAATAGACCTTGAGTAGGCCTAGGTGTAAACAAGATTGATAATTTTGGGCCGGGTTATTTTCAGATATTTGCATATTAAGATATCTTAGGTAGATCAGGGAAAATACCGATATTTATGTCATCATTCAAACACCGCCCCTTTAGCCTGAAACAAGCGTGAAATTTGTTGCTGGAGGCCCATTTCTATTCTGTTTGTTTTTTCATCAAAGAAACCTAGCCGTGCTTATAATTTTACAATGGAAATGTGGTCAGTATTTTTTCTAGATCATTCTGTCCTCAGAAATCTAATTAACCATGAACACAGAGATTATTTTCGTTTTTGATAGAATCATTGGAAGTATCTGGAAACATTTCCTCTCAAACACACGTTGTCTCAGTTGATTTCTTTCATCTCGCACAGCAGGCGGCACGCTGGCGCTCGGCATAATTGCCTTACCTCTCGTGACCAGAGATTTGGAACACGTCGTGAGTGAAGGCACAAATCCTGCCTTCACTTATACAGAGACAAGAGATTGAGCTTTTTTGGAGGAATTCCTTCCTGGTTCATTCATCGACACCAAGATATTTAACAGGCTTGCTAAGGACATCTGCACGGTACACGAGCTGTCTACCGTGTGAGGATTGAAGATTGCTTGGAGACACGAACATTAGTGTCCCCTCTGTTGGTGAAGGTGAACCCTGCGGGCAGTGCCACAAAGGGGGTCCGTAGCAGGACTGCTTTAAGCCACAGAGAAGGGTTTCTTGTGTTAGGGTTAGGAACTCCCTAGGGTGAATGTTTCGTAGCATTTCGCCAGTAGGTTACAAACTGGGGAGTTTAGGTAGCACTCCAAGCATTCTCTAATGGCGAAGTCCAAGAGTAAAAAGAAGAGGATGTCCTCCCCTGAAACTAACCAGGCTTCTCAAAGTCCAGATGATTTAGATCCCTCCTGCAGTGCCGACAAACAGACAAAGAAAGCCCGTCATGCCACATTGGAGTCTCAGTCGGAAGACACGCTCCAACAGAACCACGCCCCACTGCATCAAGAAACAGAAACCTCTGGAAACATGGAAACCAGCACGAACCAAACCACAACACTGCAACTGACATCTGACCAGACCACTTCACCTCCTCGTTTCCGCATCACAAGCTCTACTGACTTCAGCACAGCAGTAGATGCCGTATTCGCCATTGAAAAAGAATTCCCTTTTTTAGATGTAACCACCTCTATTACTAATGATGGCGATTTCGTACTCACAGCAAACACTGACTCAACAAGAGACCTCCTCTCCTCACTCACAACGCTTTCATCAGGCAAGGTGGTCAACATAATACCTCACATGATGCCGCCTAAGAGATTTAAGGTCATCTTAGAAAAGTTTCCACAGGGCTTTCCTCTTCAACGCCTCACAGACTTACCATACGTAGTCTCAGCAACTCGTTGTGTTGCAAGATCCACTAAAGATGAAACACGACAGGTTCTTTTGACAACAAACAAACCCCCGCCAGATGAAATCAATCTAGGTATCTTCGGAACCTTTAAAACCAGAAGATACATCCCTGAACCCTTACGCTGCTTCAAGTGCCAGCGATTTGGTCATCATCAGGCCAAATGCAGAGCAACCCCACGCTGTGCCATTTGTGCACAATCACATGCCACAGAAGAATGCTTGGCAAAACTCAAGGCCGGTGAAAAGACAAGCACAAAGTGCCCCAACTGTGGAGGCAACCATCATGCCTGGAACCTCCGATGTGAAAAGAGACGAGCACTTCTTCCCAAAAACAACCCACCAGATGGACCTCCAACACAACGTACGTTCATCAGGAAACTCCATGACTGGAACAAATCCACCCCACGCCAGACTACCACAGACAATCCTGCCACACAAGTTGTAGCTCACAACTTCACTTCCTCCGACCTCGTTCAAGCAACAACATCTGAGCTACAAAGCCCACCATCATCCCCCTCCTCACAAGACATTGTCATCGGCAAGTTTTTGGTCAACACCATCCAACTTGGCCTTATGGCCCTCGGTAAATCTGTAAACCCCTCAATTCTACAAGCCTTAGTAGATAATGTCATCTCTGCCTTGAACACGAACCCCACTACACACCAACACCAGACCGAATCTGCTGCACAACAGTTGGAGACACCTCCCATCATCTCCCAGGACTCTACTGACAGCCCAGTGTTGTCCAACGATTTTCCACCTCTCCCACAACCATCAGACTCTATAAACAAAGATCTTCCGCCTCCTCAACGACATTCAACCACTTTAAATAAGCTTCCTCAGGCCTCCTCCACAGAGGCTATCCATCAGGAAGACTCATCTTCTGGAACACAACCTCTAGTACCTAGTGAACCAGCACCTCGCCAACCTTCAGTCCACGCACCACTATTATTACAAAGCAATGGATAATACAACTTCAAATTCATCGACTCCACCCCTCAACATCTTACAGTGGAATATACTCGGGTTAAGAGCAAATCTGGCAACCCTCTTAGCAGCCAATACAGATAACAATTTTGATATAATAGTTCTACAGGAAACCCTTCTTCCCGAAAACGGAACATGCAACATTAAGAACTATACAGCTTATCACTTGAATACATAGGCATTCAGCTCACCTTACACCATACTGATCTACTCCTCTTCAATGTATATCGCAAACCTCATCCCAGCTGTGAATTAGAGCTCGACGAACTTTTTGGCTTAGCAGCAAACGAACCAACCATCATCTTAGGTGACTTCAATGCACACCATCCTGACTGGAATGACCCCTCCACTCCCTCTGCTCACAGAATAGATGACACTGGAAGACACATCAAGCAACTTCTTGACACCTTTCCAAAAGTCTCACTGCTGAATGCCAGACAAGCTACACACATCAAAGGCGGAGTCTTAGATCTAGTTTTCCTCACCACATCCTTATTGCCCACCGCAGACTGGAATTTTCATCCATTTCTCACCTCTGACCACCTCGCTACAGTAACCATCCTACAATTACCACGCATACCACTCCCTCCTCCAGTTATAAGATGGAATCTAAATAAAGCAGACTGGCCACGATTCACACAAATTTTAGAAGAGTGGGCAACTCATTATACTGCAGCAACAGAATTACCTCAGCTGGAGCAGGACTTCACCACTGCCATTAAGGAAGCTGCAGACGTAGCTATCCCTAAAGCCACAATAATCTACCACTCACACAAAGACAGCTGGTACTACTGTGAGAGAATCCGAGAGCTTAAGCGAAGGATGCGTCTCTTCAGGAATCTACTAAGAAAATCAAATTCCCCTGAAATTCATGAATCCTTCAGAGCACTCAGACGACTAGTCAATCGCGAGATCCTGGAAATCAGAAATCAGGCATGGCTTACTTGGTGTGAGAACATCTCCACCCACACATCACTAAGGGAACTGTGGGATAAACTCAGAACAGCATCTGGAACACGTAAACTCAGGCCCCCTACACACCCACATCCATTACAAGAAGCAAACAAACTGGGCGACATGTTCGCAGCAAGAAGCGCATCTTCCCAGTTACCGGCAAACATCACTAGGAAACTACAGCAACTCTCTCCCACAAGACAGCTACAGATACAAGAAGCCATCCACACTCAAGCTGAGAGTGACTTTCCCTTCACTGAACAAGAGCTCACACATGCAATATCAAACAAGAAAGATACTGCTCCAGGAGCTGATAAGATCCCATATTCTTTCATTAACCACTTAGGCCCAAAGGGCAAGACAGCTCTTCTCAGGATCTTTAATCAGTCACCACAGTCGGGTCTTCTACCACCAGCCTGGAAACATGCTATCATCCAACCAATTCCCAAGCAAGACACCAACTCCTTTCGACCAATCTCCCTACTGTCTTGTTTATGAAAGACCATGGAGAGAGCTGTACTTAATAGACTGCAACATCTCATCACAGTTTTTCCACCAACAATCTTTGCATACCAAAAAGGTGCAGGCACCGGCGATAACATCGTAACACTGCTATCACTACTGGATGGAAAGGACAGCATTGTAGTATTCCTCGACTTAGAAAAAGCTTTTGAGCTTGCCAACAAAGAGGCCATCTTATCCTCATTAGCAGAAAAAGGCCTCAGAGGGAGGCTCCTTGAGTGGATACAAGACTACCTGACTGGAAGGAAAGCCAAAGTCAGGTTCCAAGGAGAATTATCTAACTTTTATGATTTCGAGAATGGAACACCACAGGGAGGACTCCTTAGCCCCTTTCTCTTTAACATTTTAATCTCGAAACTAGTAGATATTCCATTTCCATCAGATGTTCAGCTTTTAGCCTATGCAGACGATATCCAACTTGTAGCTACAGGCCCAAATCGTCACATAAATGCTCAAACCTCGTTAGACTTACTGGAAAATAAATGCAGAGAGCTTGGTTTAAAAGTTAACTCAGATAAGTCAAAAGCACTCCAGATAAGAAGAGTATCAGCCTGTCGTCAGCTCTATATAGGCAATACACCCCTTGAGTGGGTTCCATCATACAAATGCCTAGGCATATTCTTCAACTCGGAGCTGTCAGCCACAACACACCTACGATTTCTACTAGAAAGAACAAGATCCCGCCTCTGTATTTTAAGGAAGCTAACCTCTTGTAAGACAGGTGCTGGTTTCAAGGTCTTAAGACTCTTCTACACTCATGCAATTCGATCCCTAGTGGACTATAGTGCGCCTGCACTATTAACACTCAGCTCTAGCCAAATCGTCTCTCTAGAAACCATACAGAATAGAGCCATGAGATCAATACTTGCTGCCCCAAGATGGACTAGACTAGCCAATTTAAGAGTCGAGACTTACTTACCATCTCTCCACACCAGAATCAGACAAATAGCAGTCACTCTCTGTTCAAAGATGATCACACGTACCAGACCTTCACCCTTAAAAACTTTCAGCCACATGCTTCATAACCAAGAGTTACACCACAACCTCACATGGCACCGCAAGTTAGCTGAAGCATTCCACTTCCTTAATGCAGTACCGATACTATCGGCAAGAGGAATAGATAACTATCACCCACACTACCATCCAAACCCCCCATGGAAAGACAAATCTATATCAATACACACCAGCACCATTCCTACCACGAAGGCTCTGTGCACTCCTACCATGATAGCACAGTTAAAGGCGAACATAGAGGCACTCAGGGCAGAAGATACTCTCATCATCTACACGGATGGCTCTGTTGATCAGGCCACTGGCAGATCAGGGGCAGCCATAGTTACCGACGACATGAGCATAGCACACAGAGTGTCAGATGGAGCATCCACTCTACAAACTGAACTGTATGCCATCAAGTTGGCTTTCAGACACGCAGTATATACTACACACTCAACTATACATATCTTCACTGACTCTCTCTCAGCCATACAGACCATTAAGAAAAACCAAGCCACTGATAATCTCAAACTAGTAACAACCATTCTCTTTCACATCCAACAACTGGAAGAACAAGGAAAGACCCTGAGCTTATGGTGGATCCCCAGCCACGTCAACATCTCTGGCAACGAGTCTGCTGATGCTGCTGCCAAGAATAGTCTATGTTTCAGCACTATCAATGGACACATTACCCCAAGTCTCAGCCGCTTAAAGAAGCAAGTCCGAAGAGCTACATATGAAGTGTTATTAATAGAACACCGAGCATGGGTAATTGCAGGATCCCCATCAGCAAATTGGTACAAGATAGTCACCGACTACAATCCTCCATTCTCAGTCACCACTCTTCCCAGGAAATCCGCTGCAGTATACCACAGACTCCGCTTAGGATATAGATGCAACTGGGAGATAGACATCAAAGTCCCCAGGCCATGTACCTTGTGTACCATGATCACTGATGAGCCTCTAATCCACTACATCCTGGACTGCCCTAGTATCCAGCAGTTACGACCTCAGCAATACCAAGGCCCGCACAGAAGAGATCGAAGACAATTTGCTTCTATAGCTGCCAGATGTCTAGCCGAAATACTCAGCTCACCTGATGCCCTCCAGGTACTTACAAGTGTACCTCCACCCAGATGAGGAGTGATGAGTGCTATGAAATATTTCAAAAAAAAAAAAAAAAAAAAAAAAAAAAATACATCCCTATCAAGCCAGATAGGCATCATCAACACTTCCACAGATACTCCTCCGGGTGGCATAAGCGTAACCCGGGCTAGTCTTGCTTCACCTTCTTCATATGCAGACTAGCAAATGTAACAACAACAACAACAACAACAATTGATTTCTTTGAGTATGGATATTATCAATAACGTGTGTGTATATAAGTTTGACCATGTAATATGGTTTTAATAGCAATGAATATCATAAAATTTAAGAGAAATTTAGGAAAAGGAAAGAAGTTGATTAAACATGTTCATATAAGGCCAATAAAATGCTGATGATTTTATGCTGTTACTGCAATCGGACCATATGTGTGAAAGTCATAGCCAAAGCACTAGCCAGGGTGCTGACCAATTTGTGTACTTTATGCTTCTTGTGCTCATCTGTATATAGTTATCTGTTTATAGTTAAAAAGAAATGTCCTTTCTGAGACTGACAGATAGAGAGGTGTGAGTGGATGTGTGAGCGAGAAAGAGAAAGAGTGGGAGGAGAAAGAGAGAGAAAATAGAGAGAGAGGGGGGGAAGGGAAAGTGGGGAGTGAGAGAGAGAGGGAGAGGAAACCAGAGAGAGGAGGAGGGGAGAGAGGAGAGAGAAACAGAAAGAGAGAGAGTGAGTCACTGGACAAGTCTTGAACAGTCATTTGTTTTATGTCATTGTTGAGTGTACTGTGTGGAATGAGGTGTTCGATAGTTTTTTTTTCCCTAACTTGTCATATGCCTGGCAGCGCATTCACCAGCCAATCAGCATTTATGAAGAGTAATGACATCATCAACCAAAGTCCCAACGTGATGGGAGTTTGTACTCTACCAAAGACAGCTATAGACCTACCTGATACGAGATGTCGGAGCACTCTTTGTTTTGATAATTTCTCCTCGGTCAAGTTTTTCCAGTCCTCCCAGCGCAACGCCCGTATCTTGACATATCGCCGTTCGAGCGGTGTTGTTCGTGACGGGGAAGTTGTAATACGAAAATCATTTGCTCTGTCCATCACGTTTGTTTTCCCATGAAACGGTACAGCAACTATCAGGCTTTTCGGTCGGACGAAAATAATGTTGTATTATCTCTGTATTTCTGCCTGCGAATATGCGCGCGCATCCAGTGTAAACAAAAAAAAAGAGGTTAATATTGTCACAGTATCATACATTTTTCCGCGATATAACTACTTTTATATATATTTGCATAAATGTATTATTTTTCTCTATTAATGCCCTTGTAAAATAGGGGTGCGTCTTATGCGTGAGTGCGTCCTGTAAGCCGGCAAATATGGCATATATATATATATGTGTGTGTGTGTGTGTGTGTGTGTGTGCGTGTGTGTGTGTGCGTGCGTGTGTGTATGTATATATATAGATAGATAGATAGATAGACAGATAGATGTATATATGTATATATACATATACATATATAAACACACACAGATATAGATAGATAGATAGATGTAAGCGTAAGTATATGTATGAACACACTCGCACATATATGTGTACATGAGTATATGTATATATATATATATATATATATATATATATATATATATATATATATATATATATATATATATATATATATATATATATATATGTATATTTATATATATATATATATATGTGTGTGTGTGTGTATATATATATATATATATATATATATATATATATATATATATATATATATATATATATGCATGCAAATGATTTATTATCATGGCTAAATTGTAAAAAAATAAAAATAAATAAAAAAATAAAAAAAATAAATAAAATATAGATATTACACTCATAGCAAGCAGGTCGCGTTATTCTTTATTTTCTGGACCTGAGCGCAAATCGCAGATTAAATTTACTTTACTCGGTCGATACAGTATTTAAGAACAAAAGATATAATTTATCAACGCTCTCTCGTACTGATAACTATTTTTAGTAAGATGATGTTTACACAAAAAAAAAATTGTCCGGAAAATTTCCAGGTAAGACTAACCGGCAACTATCTGCGTTCAGGTAACATGTCGCTGATCTCGCCAGTTTGCGTGTGACAGTGACGGAACGAGGGAGTGCGTCCGAGCGCTCGCTAGTGTTGGATTGTAATCGTGTTCAGACTGTAATGGAATAAACGTGCCAAGATGTCAGATAGGTTTCATAG